GGTTCGATCCCTGGTCGTGGAACTAGGTCCAGCATGCATGCTGCAACTAAGAGGTGGCATGCCGCAACTGAAGATCCCGAGTGCTGCAACTAAGACCCGGCGCAGCCTAAATAAATTAAATATATATATATATATATAGACCCTTCCATGCTGACAGTGTGTCCACAGCACAATTTAGAAGAGTTCGTGAGTTAATCCTGAATCACTGATTGCCTGAAGTCTACAAAGTTTTTTCAATCAAGATATAAAACTCTTACCATTAAATATTTTAAAATTCTGCCTTTAGACAACTACATTGAAACCTGACAAAATAAAATAAGCCTAATCAATGTTATCAATGCTCCCAGGAATATAAATAAACTACAGAGAACTAATCTAATCTGTAACTACATTTAACTGGCATGTGCCAACAAAATCAGAAAAGTGGCTTGGTAGCAATTTGGCGCTAAAAAGCAAAGTTCTGAAAATGCTTTCTGTAACACCTGAAATACATTTCTCTAAAAGCAGAAGCCGTCCAGTTTAATATGTTTTTTCTTGTTAAACCTAAAAGCCTGGTAAATCTTGAGCTGTGTTTTTGTGATGCCTAAACACCAATCTCTCTTTTTCTCTATGCCCCACCTTTATTTGAAAGGATTCAAGCTGGATGAATTACTTTTATCTTTGATAAAACGAGGTCTTTGAAGTGACGTTTTGGCTCTGCAGAGGCAAAGCCTCAGTTTCCAAACTTAACTATCTGAGGAGGCCAAAGCCCTCAGAGAACAATGCATTTTTCACTTGTCAGGTTAATGTGCTGGCACCCTACCAGCACAGCCTCTAATATCAATCAGTCTAACCATTAACGAGAATCTTGGGTATTGTACTGATTTATTTTGATGGTACTTTTTCAATGTGAAATCACAAAGAACCATTCTTCCAGTTAAGAGAGATGAGAGGCAGATAATTAATGGATCTTAAGGAAAAGCACACAATTAAATGTGCCCAGTTTCGGCCTCGACTGCCCAAGGTCCACACCAGAGAAATCTTGTCACATTTCCAGACACCCTGATACGTACTTCACATACAGCAGGTTTTGAATCAAACGTCTGGAATTACACAGTCACAGAGAGTTAGAACTCTGCAGGCCCCCATGAGCTCGTCCTCACACAGAATGCATATTTTAAAAGGAGGAATCTGAGCCAGAGATGCAGCCCTTGGGCCCCTTTGCCTCCCTGAGTCTTGGTTTCCTCCTTAAACAGATCAGGGTAACACCCAGAGCCTCACATAAATGACTAGGGGTCCTCCCAGATCTGAAAAGTCCTGAAGCCTTTCCAGAAAGATCCTGGCTGCACACCTGAGGGGGAAGGGTGCCCCATCTTAAGAAAACAGCATATGCAACCCGACCTCGTGACCCCATAAATCTGGGCCTTCCGTATTCTCTTCCAGATAAGAATTTCCCACTTAAAAGTACTTACCACCATATTCTTTTTTTTTTTTTTTTTAAGTAAGTATCCCTCTAAGGCTTTTAAATTTTAATTGGGTTTACCCTCAAATAAAAATTTCACGCTTTTAAAAACCACATAAAACCATTTTAAACTGCTCGAATTTTTTTACCATATATATTAGTTAGTTTTTTACTTTAAAAAAGGCAACAAAACTAGTCAACACACAAAAAAATTAAAGGAAACAAAATTCCAATGGCCCTGAAAAAATAGTGAGCACCAAGAAGGCAAGGATTTTGTATTATAATTCCTTAAATGTCCCCCAGGTAACTAGACCAGCGTTTTGTTTTGGTTTTTGTACACATGATTGATAGTACAATTTTGGAATAAATCAAGAAAACCTATTTTTGGAAGATACATGCTTAGTTTAATTTAGCACTTTAAACCTGGTGTTTCAATGGCCCCGTTACTTTTAAATGGCATAACACAGGGAGGTCAAGAACTGTTGATTAATTTCTAGTTGTCTTAAAGAACAAGAGAGAACACCCTTCTTCCTCAGTGCAATCGCTTCTGTTCAGATCTCAGAAAACCGTAAATGTGAACACGCCTGATTTTAAGCTATTAAACGCAAAGCGCGTGATACAATTACTTGTGAGCAAATTTCAAGCGCCTGCTCCTTTACAAACAGACACAGAGGAGCAAAAACTCGGAACACTCTATTTCAGAGACAGGCATATCTGAAGCCTGAGCTGTAGGAAAGGCCTGAAGCACTTTGCATACAGCTCCTACCCATGGAAGCAAATGAGCAGAGGCGCTTCTCGACACATTCCCTTTCAGTAACAAGGCCTCTGCTAATTTGCATAATCTAAATGGCTAAATAAGTTTCAGAGTGCATTTCCAAACAACCTGCTTTTCACTTTGTTTTTAACTACAGGGACATCTTCGAATTCCCCTACACTGGCGCTGGGACTTCTCACAGTGATGAGCTGGCAGGGAGGCCACATAGCAGGAGAGCTAACCCAGCAGCCAGGCTCCAGGCTTTGCGGGGCTGTCACCTCTGCCTGCGCACCTCGTCACACACAGTCATCCCTCCTCAGAAGCAAAGAACCGCCCGCGCACACGAGGCATGAAAGGTCTAACTCTGCTCAGAGACACAGCAGTACAAAAAAAACGTGTTCTCAGTATGGGTCTGAAGGTCAGGGGTTGGTTGTGTGACCAGAAGGCTGAACGTGCAGTTTCCAACCTGTGTGTGTGAACGGTCTGCTGGGAGTGTATGTGTGAGGGTGTGCACGGGTGAGGACGGGGGCCCCTGAGTGCGGTGCAGCAGTGTAGACAGAAGCAGCACAGTCCGAGGAGAGGACCGAGTATCGATACTGTAGAGCCTCAAACAGCGCCGGCTGGGGTTTTATCTATAAAACACTGAACAGCCGAGCCAAAAGGCCCCGTCAATCAAGTTGTCTGGCCTTCTGTAGACAAAATATCAATCTCAGGTAATCAAGTGACTTTTGACTCAAGGAGCAGATGTTTTGGAGTCACAGATAAGGCTCCGCCGCAACAATCTGTACATGAAAAAGAAAACTGAGCGTATCGTGCAAGCACTCAACCAAAAGCTCAAAAGTCCCTAGGATCCCATAATTTCCAGTTGGTTACCCGCCCTTCCCCCCACAGACACTCCCTATCAGCCGCACATGACCAGAGAGCGAGGCTGGCAGGGGCTTTTTCCCTGGCCCTTCTCTGTGGGTGTCTGAAACCTTGTTTAAAGAAGGGAGGTAGGCTGGACCACAGGCAGGCCTCGTTTCTACCTCTGGACCCGTTCGCTACCTTGACACCACTCAACCTTCTGGTTTCTCAGCTGGCATCCCTCTGGCAAATGAAAAAAAGAAGATTGTCATCTATCATTATTTATCTCCCCTTTAACTCACTTCCAGACAAGAGCCCTTTTCAAACATCGGGACACACAAAATACTTTGAGAGCCAGCCAATAGGAGCTGCTAATCCACCACTAGAAAGGGCAAATGGAAAGTTGGAGAACAAATTAAAACAACTTGGCTATGCTGGCTACGCTCCAGGGTATAAAAAGCCAAAGGGAGGAGTGGAACAGAGGACCATCTCATAGACCTTTAATTGTGGGCAAGAAGGCCGATAAACCTGAGCCATACCTTCAGTGAGAAGCATTTTCCACCTGCCCTTCACCATCATCCATCCCCTTCCAGGTGGACCATCCCTCCTCTAAAGGTGGTGTGCCCATGCCAGATGCCCTGTTCTGGCCACAAAACGTCAGGCTGATTGGGGCCAGATTCTGCATACATATTCGCCTCCCCATCATCAGCAGAAAGCAGAGTCTCATGAAAAGAAATGCCTGGTCTACAAAGATTCAGACTGTGATTTCTGAAGTGGGAGTATGACAGACACATGCTTTGGAGTCCAAAATAACTTACAGCAGCATGTAGAGTAGAAATATAAAGTTCTCAGTTGCTGTGGTTTAAGTTATTGAGGTACAGCGAATAGTACTTGATATTCAAGATTAAGTGGGAAGACTACCTACTACAATAAAATGCAGACTTTCGCCCAAGGTAGCACAAGAACCCCTTACACGCCGAACTAGGAAATTCCCCAGACTCTGGAAAAGCTAAGAGAAAGTCCAGACCTTTTCAGAAGCGCTAGCTTCAACTCTTACATCTTTCATATGATGCTCTGATCCTCCTAAGAGTGAAAACAGCCTAGGACTGAGATGAACTGTGTACAGAAATAAACCCGTCTACCGCCATAGCCAGAACAAGACGTCAGTGCGCTGAAGCACAACAGATGCACTTGAAAACATACTTGAAATTTACCTGTACCAGCCAAGAGTATATCCATGAGGAGGTATCTACCCTAGGGATATTACCCAGATGCAATTCAACCTAATGTAATATAATATTCTGCTATTAAAGAAACTATCTGCTTAGCTCAAAGCCTAGTTTTCATTTTAATTCATACATCAAACTGTATCTTCTGCTGGCACCACAAATATTGCAATGTCCTGACAATTTACTGAGGCTAGGTGGTTGTTCACCCAAAAGACCGGCCAGTGCCACATCTGCAGGTTTCAGGGCCCTGATCCAGAATCACGTCACTCATTTTCCTAGCCTATTAGTAGAGCCTGAGTTAATTCGATGATATCCCTGTCAGTTCTCCTCTGCCTAAATGAATCACAGAATTAAGTGCTTCACCTGATCAGACAAAAGCTACACTCAGCAGCTCTGTTCACTATCTTTGGAGATTCACCAGGAAGCTTTTGGTAACACTCATGAATATCATCTTCCCCAAAAATGAGTGGTGACCTACCAGAGGTACCTTAAACAATGTCTTTTAAGATGTGCATGGAAATAACAACAGAAATGACTCCGGTTCGCTGTCCAAGCTACAAAGTGCATGGCCAGTGCCTAGGTAGCTCCCCAGCAAACACACCTGGAGAGAATTATAAGTTGTGACTGCCCCAGGGCCCTGGTCAGTCTTTCTGACTCAGTAGAAGGTAAGAAAAAGGGACACGTGGGCATGAAAGCAGCACAAGTTCTAGAAAAATCTCAGGGCAAGACCTACCACTCTGGGCTTCTGCTGGTCCAGGGTATGCAGGAAGGCAGAGTTGGGGTCCAGGCAGCGCTCAGGGTCACTGGAGATGTCCTCCTCCGAGTCCTCATAGGAGGAGGAAAAGCCAGTGGAAGACGCAGAGGAAGAGGACAGTTTCCTCAGCGGCAGGCCGCCCCGAGGGCTTCCCTGTGCCTCCTCCAAGGCACCATCCTCCTGGGCACCCATGTCTGTAATGATGACGGCAGGGATATTGCTTCGGCTGCAGGCCTCTCCCCGGGAAGGCTTGTCCTTCTGATCTGGGGAGAGCTGCTCTGGGCTGGGGTGGGCATCTCTGCCCTGAGGCTGGCTTCCCCAAGTCCCCTCGGATTGTACCCCTGTGACACACGTCCAGGCCAGACCCGCTTCTTCCATGGAGCCCAGCCAAACCCTGGAGCTCCCAGGCTGCACACCCACCCTGTCCCCAGGAAGGCACTGAGGTTCTTTCAGATCTTTTGCTTCCCAACAGGGCAAAGGCTCCAGCATTCCGCCAGAGGGAATCCCCGCCTCCACCTCCCCCGGGCCTGGCTGTGCTGAGCTGCTGCCCCCAAGCAAGCCCAGCGACGCAGACCCTTCATCCACTCTGTTGGAGTGCGGCAGTGCCTCCCTGGCCACTAGGGCCCCACTCTGGGTCCCCTCGGAGCCTACTGAGCCCCGGTCTCTGGGCTGCCTGAACCAGCTCGGGGCCTCAGAGGAGTCCGCCGGACTTTGCGCGTTCACAGTCCTCTCCTCTGGCCTTTTGTCCGCTTCAGGCGCCCCGGAGCCCGGCATGCCACCGGGCAGATTTCCTCTCCCCACCTTCCCAGGGGGCTCTCCACTGCGAGGCCCGCCCGTCTCTGGGGCCGGACTTGTCTCACTGCCCAAAGACCTCCCCTGACTCTCGGCCAGGGCCTCCCAAGGGTACGCACCCCCAAGCTCGCGGGCCCTCTCAGACAGCTCAGTGAGGGCAGGGTCCTGTGGATGGTGTGGCCCAGTGGATGTGGCTCTCGCTGCCACTTCTGTGGCCATCGTTAAGTTCACTCCGACCAGCCCCAACGGGGGAGCTTGGTAATTCTGAGTTCCCAAAGGAGGAGAAACCCTCTTGTCAACTTCCATAGCAATGGGTGAGCCACAATGGGGTCCGGCCAGGACCGGCTTCCTCATTTTCACCGAAGCGCCTGGACCCTGAGCCGCTGATCCTGCCGGGGCAGCAGGGCCGGGTAAAGGTGCTACTCCCTCTTTGTCCTTCGAGAGGCGTTGGCTGGGCGACCCTCCTCTTTTCCCGGAGTCGGCCTCTGAAGTCTCCGGACATTGTTCCCCCCAGGACTTTGTCCGCCGCCCATCACTCTGAGCCAGGACCCTCCCTGGGGGCTGACTGATGCTGCGGAAGGGGCACGGGGAGGGCGATCGAGCCCTGCCCAAACGCGGGCTTCGAGGCCCTTGAGTGGCGGAGCTCTGCGCCTGGATGTGCGCCTCGAACATGCCCACTTTCTGGTTCACCTGCACGTTCTGCAGCTCGCGCTGTAGGATTCGAAGCTTCCTTTTGGCCTCCTCCGGCCCCGGGGGAGAGAGGGTACCGGTGGTCACCACATGCTGCTGCCCGTCGCCTCTTAGGCGACCCGCCCAACTCGGGCTGCCCACGCTGCTGCCGCTGCCGCTGCCGCTGCTACTATTCAGCCTGCGCCGGCCACTCCGCCAGCCCGGGGGGCTCCCGGGCTCCTCCGGCGACGACTCGGCTGCGGGGAAGAGGAAAGAGGAGCCACTCCCGGGGCTGAAAACGCTGCCGGGGCTCAACACGGCCCTCCTCGGCGCCGGGGGCGTCTCGCTGCTGCTGGGCCGAGGGCCACCGCCGCTCTTCACCTGGCTGGCGCTATTCATGATCACCAGGCTGTTGAGTGCATAGCAGTACATAGCCATAGTACTGGGTCCGCCGCGCTGCCCGCCGCCGCCGCTCCTGTTCCGGCTCCGCCGCCGGCGCCTCCTCCTCCCGAGGCTCTCGGCTCCCGGCTCAGCCCCAGAGGCCCGGCGGCCGCGGCTCCGCGCGCTGATGGGGTGGCATGGCCTGGGCGTTGGGCGGGGGGCAAGACGGCGGGCTCAGCCCCCGCCGAGTTCCGTAAACAACAGCGCCGCTGTGGAGAAACAAGGAGAAAAGTCAGGACCCCAGAGGGCGGGTGCGGGGGACGGCTAGGGGACTAGGACTGGGATTGGGATCCCCCAATCTGTCGGGGATCGGTGCCACTGGACATCTTATCTACAGCGACTGTGCGGCACGGCGAGGACACAAACTCCGGGGGCCCTCGGTCGCCAGCTAGGTTGTGGGGGTGTTTTCCGAGTGCGCTCCCACCCTTCGCCCCAGACTGTGATGCGCTTGAAGGTCCCTTCAAATTCCAAATTCTAAGAGTTGCTTCCAGAGCCGCGCGGACGGGCGGGGGACTGTACAATCACTTGATTGCTAAGCGGGCTATGTGCGGGGCGCGGCAGATTCCGAGCTCTCCGAGAGTGAGGACACCCCCTCCACCGTCTCTGGGTGCCCTCGGCTTTGCAAACACTGGTTGCATCGGGTATAACGGGGCAGCTCCCCACCCCCGCCTTGGGCTTCAGGATCTCCTCGCTCCACCCTCTCTGGCCATCAGGGACCGACTCGGAGGGAACCTGAGCTGGACCTGCCTTCCCCGGTCGCTGCCTGAGCCCGGATCTAGGAAGACCCCTGCGTGCCTGCCTTTTACCTTCCTGACCCTGGCCTTGGTGCTGTGTCCCTCGGCCTACGACGGCCTGGGCCCGCGGCGGGGCCGCAGCCTAGGCATTTCTCAGCACTGGCTTTGTCGCCAGTCCCCAAACAAGTGTGTATTGTGAGTGTGGGTGCGTCTGCGCGCGCCCGGGGCCGAGGAGCTGCTCGTCCCCTGTACCGGAACCAATACACGCCGCCCCCCCCCCGACGCTGTCGCCCCCCGCGTAGGGGTGTGTGTGTGTGTGTGTGTGTGTGTGTGTGTGTACGCGCGCGGACAGCGAGTCCGCACTCCGCACACCCTGTGCCGGAGGACGCGGCTGCCTCTGCGGGCTCCGGGACCCTCGGCCACTCGGAAGGACTCCAGGGTGTGTATGGCTGCAGCCGGGCGGAAGCCCGGGCTCTGCAAAGCTCCCGGGGCCCCGCTCTAAGCCCGGAGGCGGCGCGGCCGAGTGCAGGGCTTCTCCGCATCCTAGGCAGCCTCGCCCGGCGCCAAGCCGGCTGCCCGGCGGCCGGAGCCCGTGGACGCCTGCAGCGCGCCGAGGTAGGCGGCGGGGAGTCAGCGGCCCGGAAGGCGAGCACGGGAAACGCCGAAAACTCGCCTCTCCCTCCTCTCCACGCCACCCTCCCCAATCAAACCCCCTTGCCCGTCTCCCCGGGCCACCTCTCTGCGCCTTTTCAGAACCCGGAACCCTCAGATTCGCTCCAGAGCAGAGAGAGAGGGGAAAGAGGGTTCGGAGGCGAGAGCCATTAAAAAGCCGCCAAAGTTACCTGCAATTGCTCAAGATTCCCGAGTCCTGTGCAGACTACATGGCCCGGGGAAGCAGACCTCGAAGGAGAAAGATGGCTTTAAAAGTAAAAAAAAAAAAAAAAAAAAAGCTCGGAAATGGTTTCCTCACTTCTTTTGGAAGACAACAAAAAGGGGGGAATGGGGAAAAAGAGGGAAAGCTCCTCGGCCGGGGCGGGAGATCCGGGCGGTGGCGACGCCGGCCGGCCCTGCACGCCCTTGTGGGCTGTGGAGATACTACCCGTGTCAGTGTCTGCTCCCGGCTACTTCAGTGGTTGTTCTATGTGCGATTAAAAAAAAAAAAAAAAAAAGTTGGGGGGGGGGGGATTTGGGGTGGAGGAGGGAGGAGGGAGAAAGGCGGGGGCTTGGGGGAGGAAAGCAGGAAGGAAGTTGTGAGCCTGTCTGGGGTTGAACTCAGCGGAACAAGTTTTTCTTTTCTTCTTTTTTTTCTATTGCTTGGCAAGACCGAGGGAGGGAAACACTTAAAAAAAAAAAGTTTCCATTGTTAGCTAACAACCAAAAAAAAAAAAAAAAAAAAAAAAACTTTTGATACGATCCATTTTCCACACACTCCAGTGAGCCTCGCTGACGGCTAGCTTTATGAAACATTTTTTGAAAAATGTTTTTAATAAAGTTTGAGCGTGCATTTTAAGCAAAGCAAATCATGGGGACTTTTTTTAACATTTAAAACGGGCTAAAGCCTTATATAAACGGTTTGTGTTCTTGTACACAAATATGCAAATTCGAAGAAGGTACTTTGTGGGCACCTCGTTGCAGAGTTGCAGATTTTAAATGCTTCACACTTGTATTTTGGAAGACTGGTTGGGCTGTGAGCTGTTGATGCTTTTGCAGTACAATTGCTAGTTGTATAAACACGCCTTTGCACTGCACATTTTTCTATTACTAAATGCACACAGCAAAGGTGACATTGGCATATTTTTGCGCTCAATTCTCAAAGTTATTTTAAGAAAAAGGATAGTCCTGGAACTAAGAAGGCCAGAGACCCCTTGCTCAGTCTCCTGCAGCTGGATGATTTTCAAGAGACTGTTCCCCCCAGCATCAGCAATTACTACTGGGCAGGGATCTTACCCCCTTTTAAGCTCTGGTGCCTCAAGTGTGTTTTCCATAATTCCCTAAATTCTACACTACAGAATTTAGTGGAAAGAGGGAAAACACAGCTGCCAGGCTCAGGAAATGTAAAAACTCTAAAGCCTGAATCAGTCCTAATAGTCTTATTAGCTAAAATTTAGATGGAAATTTTGACTTTGCTTGTGGCAAACCCATCTCCTGCTTGTTTATGTAACAATACTCTGTAAGTGAGAAAAGCAGCCTGCTGCTGCATCAGAAAAAGACTCATGTTAAATCTGAAACTGAGATCTTCTAGCTAAGAATTCCCAGGAATGAGGCACTTCTGAGTCCTACTTGTTTTTTTAACGTGCCGTGTTGAAAAGACTGAGCCTGGTTCCTCTCCCCTCCCCAATGGGGCTAAATAAAAAGAGCCCAGAGTTTATTCAGGTGTTGACTCAGGATCTGGGCAGTTGCTAAGGCAGAGATGCCAGCCCTACCCTTGCCCCTAATTCGCTTCCCCAGTGACAAGAAACAGAAGCTGCCAGTTCCCAGGAGACCCACTCGATGGAGCTTATTTCTATCATAGGAGATGCAAACACCCATGCCAGGTGTCATGGTGGAAACAACTGGAGGACCTAGCAGTGCATACAGTGAACACAGAATCTTAGCTTTCCAGCCTCTGGGAACTCTCACTGTCACCTCACAGCCAGACACCACTGGCATTCCAAAGAATTGAGAAATTCAGGCTTCCTGAATGTTCAATCAGCCTGAAGAGGTCTTGCTCAGAACGCAGCCAGCAACTGGTCAGGTGTGGCTTGCTGAAGGGATTCCTGCCTTGGGCTGGCGGTCGAACTAAATGATAGTTCTACCAGTCTGAAGTTCTAACTGTGCTACCAAGGACAGCAGGGATTAGGGAAAAGATGGAGCAAAAGCCATATCTGGAAGCCAGCGTGGTTGGCTTGCATCTTGAAGCAGAATCTGGTAGCCTTCCATGATTTTAAATGAACAAAGAAAAAAAGTTATATAGCACTTATTATCCAGGCACTGTTCTAAGCACATTGTAAATATTTACACATTTCAATCCTTATAACAACCGTATGAGATACATACTATTATAACCCCCATTTTATAGGTGAAGAAATTAAATCACAAAGTGGTAAGCAATTTGCCACATCTATTCAATATTGTACTGGAAGTCCTAGTCAGAGCAACTAGACGAGAAAAAGAAATAAAAGGCATCCAGATTGGACAGGAAGAAGTAAAACTGTATTTATTGATAATAAGATTGCCTATGTAGACTATCCTATGGAGTCTACAAAGAAGCTACTAGAACTAATAAGTGAGTTTAACAAGTGTATTAGTTGCAAGGGCTGCTGTAACAAAGTACGATAGACTGAGTGGCTTAGACAATAGAAATTTATTTTCTCACAATTCTGGAGGCAAGAAGTCTGAGATCAAGGTGTTGGTCGGTTTGGTTTCTTATAAGGCCTCTCTCCTTGGCTTTTAGATGGCCATCTTGCCCCTATGTCTTCACATGGTCTTCTCTCTGTGTGTCTGTGTTCTAGTTTCCTCCTCTTGTAAGAACATCAGTCATATTGGATTAGGACCCGCCTAATTTTAACTAAATTACCTCTTTAAGGACCCTATCTCAAAATACAGTCACATTCTAAGGTACTGGGAATTAGAACTTCAACATGTAAATTTTGGGGTAACTATTCAACCCATAGCAACAAGGTTTCTGGATTCAAGACCAATATACCATAATCAGTTGGTTTCCACACATTAGCAATGAACAATCAGAAATCAAAACTTAAAAAATAGGGCTTCCCTGGTGGCGCAGTGCTTGAGAGTCCGCCTGCCGATGCAGGAGACGCGGGTTCGTGCCCCGTTTCGGGAAGATCCCACATGCCGCGGAGCGGCTGGGCCCGTGAGCCATGGCCACTGAGCCTGCGCGTCCGGAGCCTGTGCTCCGCAAATGGGAGAGGCCACAACAGTGAGAGGCCCGCATGACGCAAGAAAAAAAAAAAAAAAAAAAACTTAAAAAATAATATTTATAATATCATCAAAAACTATAAAATATATAGGGATAAACATGAAAAAAGATGTATAAAACCACAGAGTAAAAACTACAAGACACTACTGAAAAAATTAAAGAAGACCTAAATAAACGGAGAGATATACCATGTTCATGAATTGGAGGACTCAATATTGTTAAGATGTCAATTCTTCCCAAATTGATCTATAGAGCCAGTGCAATCAAAATCAGTATCCCAGCAAGTTTTTATTTTTGTAGAAGTTGACAAGCTTATTCTAAATTTCATTGGAAACTGCAAAGGATCTAGAAGAGCCAAAACAGCTTTGAAAAAGAACAAAGTGGAAGGACTATTTGATTTCAAAACTTATCATAAAGTTACAATAATCAGGAACATGTGGTATTAACATAAAGTTAGACAAATAGATCAATGTGACAGAATATGAGTCTAGAAATAGGCCAACATATATACATATGGACAATTGATTTTTTTTTTAAAGATCTTTATTGGAGTATA